GGGGGGGGGAGGGGGGGGGCGTACTCTGATGTTTGCATGCCATAGCGGCCAGACCGGCTAGACCGTTGACCAGGCTTCCTCGAGAGGCCGGGGTACGGTTCCAACAGGATCGATCACCGATGGCCATTCGTTTCATCTTACTTTGCCAAAGGAAGCTCTAACATGTTGTCCCTAGCCTCTCTATCCTATCGATATCGCTTCCCGCCTTCTTGACCTACTTCCTATGTCCCAGTACAGCTAACGTCGTCTCCTGGCTATTCCATGCTTCAAACATCTCCATGTATCTTCCTTCCACTTTTCCCACCTTAAGCCGTGTACACTTCCCTCTCTTTGCACAACCGACATTCCGCAACTACATGAATCTTTCGCACTCAGAATCGCGTTCACATTTGAACTTTTCGTCGTCATCGTCTACCTCAACCTTCCTAAATTAAATCTCCGTCTACGTTCTCGAAGGCCGGTGTTCCAGGTCCTAAATTTGACTTTCAGCTTTGTCTTTTGCATCCATTGGTCCATGTAGTTGTTCCTTGAACCCTATCCCTTCTTTCAACATTCCGTACACTTCGAGGCTCTCCTTATCCTTGTTTTTTTGTTATATTGTGTCCTCTCTCGGCACAAGCAACAGATTTCTTCTCCGTGAACACCTCTAGACCTTCCGTTTCCAGCGTCACACCTTTGTCAATTTCGAACCCCTTCCATATTTTATGTCATCTACAACCTTGACCCTCTCGGTGGGCTATCCAACCCTCTTCTTGGTCGCTCACTTCGCCTCCCAAGCTATTCTCGGCAACCTCTCCTCGCCCATACCGCACATGCTGCACCGCCATTCTGGCTTCCTTGCGTCTCTTCCCGATCATAGCGATTGGATCCCCAGTACGGCCGCATTACTTGTGCGCTTGGAACATCCTAGAATGATTTTCGCTGCTTTCATCTGCACCGCCTCGAGCTCCTTGACTACCTTCTTATTTCCTTCCCATGCTTCTGCCGTGTACTCTAGCGGCGGCTCTTCAAAACCGCCAATTTAATGCGTGTATCGAGGTGCAGGTTTGCGAGTACAGTATTGGGTGCAGCTTCCCTGCTCGTGCTTTGCCCTTTTCCGCTACCTTGGACATTTGCGCATTTTGCGATCTCTATTCCGATACGTTAGAGGTCCCTATTTGGTGCCGGGGTGTGCGCCGAAATTTCACCGGCACTACACCGGACACCTGCACTATTCGAAGTACAGAACAACTCGGTATTCCAGTGTGTGCGAGCCGAAAACACCGGCACTATAACGGCAACCGGCACTATCCAACCGGCACTAAACAGGGACCTCAACTGTATGTGTTTACTGATCCACTACTGCAAGCTCCTCGACCCCCCCCCCACTTCCATCTCTACTGCAATGGTGTCTCCAGAGTGGGCGGGGGATGAAATGCTCTCAAGCGGTGGAGAAGGAACACCGATAGATCGCCGGACACAACGGCGCCCGTTCCACTCTGTCGGCAATTATTGGCGCCTTTCACTTTTCGCTGTGCTGACGCCAAGACCAAAACGTACGCCCAAGAGAACGACGCACCACTCAACCACTCGCGTTCGCACCCAACCGGTACAAATACCGATAGTCAGGGTCCCCCAAATTCCGCGGTGCGGTGACACCGTTGATACCCGGTTCCCGCACTTTTCCAGACGGCACTGTCGAGGGACCCTTGACGCATAAACCAAAATCCGTCTCGCCCCAGGCTGTATTTCACAAGGATAAGCCTGAAGCGGGGAGGGGGGGGGGGGGGTTCTCGCAGC